AGGAGCGTTTAAAAAATTCAAGACAGAAAACTGATGTGTTGAATCCCAAAGGAATACACAGTGTTATGGCCCACATTACATTCGTTAGAGAACAAAAGAATGACAAAGAGAATATTGCCATTGCTTTCTTAGACTCTGTGATGCTAGTTTTTGAGAAGTAGAAACATGAAAGTTCATTTCTAAACTTTTACCTTGGATTTCAATGGAGGTAAACCTTGAGTCACAAATTACGCAACTGCTTCCAACACGCTTGGCTTGCAAAGCAATCTTATCTACTCCCACGGTTGGACCATTATCCACATATGTAAGAGAAAGCCAAGTATGACTAGCAATTTCAGCACCTTGGACAGGGTCTTGTCAGTATCAGGCACCTTTCCCCCATGATTTCACCTTGGAAGTACCACTTACTGAGCCCTTGCTTTGCCCCTGGTCTGCAGCCTTCTAGAGGCAAATGTCTTCCACATGAATGCAACCAGAGCACTTTCACCCAGGCAAGCATACCTACTGAGAAGTTATTCACAGCACACAGCATTTCTAACACTACAGTCCTAGAAAGAGTCCATTTTGAAATGGATAATCCATTAAACTCACGCCCAATAAGCCAAATGCTTGTTCAAATTACGTTGTACGTTTGAGGGGCTTTGACCAACATCCAAGGCTCATTTGCAGAGTTTTTTTCTTGTGTTACTTGAGGTTCTAGTCACTATCCTGATCTCTTGAAACCTTCCAATTCATTTGCCATTTCTCAAGTAGAATTGGATGTGTGTCCATCATTACTGCATGGTGTGTGCTTAACTATATGTCAGGCATAGAAAAGATGAATTCACCCTGTACCCTACCCCCAGCTGGTCTTTATGAACCTGTGTGTTATTTTTCCATTAGGTTGGTTGTGTGTTCTGTCCCTGCACTCACAGAAGGTGGCACTGGCCAGCCCCAGAGATGGAAAGGGATGGAGAAACTGAGGACCGCTGTACCACACACAGCCACTAGGGGGTACCACCTCACAGATGCTGAGCAATTCACAACACTTCTCAATGCCGCCATGATGGGGGTGCTTCTACTAAAGAAAAAGCTTCACGTTTTTTGTTTGAAAGAAAAAAATCCTACATAAGCCACTGGATCCCAACCCTTGAAAGTGGCAGGGATTTTTTTTTTTTTTTTAATTGAAAGGTTTGATCTGAAGCCAGAGATTTATGTTAGTGTTCACCTCATTGTTCTTGACTTGCATTTCTCTTTGTAGGACAGAGAATTTGCTGGTTGACTCCTGAGCAAGTGCTGATTTATGATTCCTTCCCGTGGCTCTATTAATAGCACGGGGTTCTAAATAAATGCTGACTGTATGCAAATTCCACCTGACAGACTGAAGGTGTCACCTGGGATGGGACAAACCACAGATAAGAAACCACTGGGGGGAACCACCTCCATACTTCTACCTTTCTTTGCCACTTTCCCATTCATAGATGTCCAGTAAGTATCACTTCATTTCCAGGGGAAGAAAACCAGCCAGAATGCCATGCCCCCCCAAATACTTGGTGCACATTTGAAAACACCGTGATTTTGCCCATTCGTTCCTCCTCAAAGCTCTGCTGCTTCAGAATTACTTGGGATTGATGGGACACCAGGTGGCTCAGTTGGCTGAGTGTCTCACTTTGGCTCGGGTCATGATCTCACAGTTCATGAGATCAAGCCCCATGTTGGGCTCTGCACCCGCGGCATGGAGCCTGCTTGGGATTTTCTCTCCTTCTCTCTCTCTCTATCCCTGACCCTTCCCCATGTGCTCACTCTCTCCCTCGAAATAAATAAAAACTTAAAAAAAAAATAATTACTTGGTTGGGGGGGCGTCTGGGTGGCTCAGTCTGACTTTGGCGCAGGTCATGATCTTACGGTTCGTAGGTTTGAGCCCCACATCGAGCTCTGTGCTGACAGCTCAGAGCCTGGAGCCTGTTTCAGATTGTGTCTCCCTCTCTTTTTCTGCCCTGCTCATGCACTCCCTCCCTCTCTCTCTCAAAAATAAATATACGTTAAAAAGTTAAAATAAAGAAAAAGAATTACTTGGAATTGAAAATACCACTTTGCAGTCATGCCTTGATTGCCCACAGGATCTGACTGGTAGTGGTCCTGCTGAGGTATCACGGTGGGCTGTGTCCACCGGCCTCTGATGCCCACCCTTCCTGTTTCCAAACTCTGACGCGCTTTATCTGCATCTTCACTGGGACACTCATCCATGGCTCCCTGCTCTGTGTTATTATGACACCTCCTGGAAGAATCTTAAATCCGTCAGTGGTTCCTAAATTCCCCTATGTCAAGGGACTTATCATTATCACACTCCCCCTCTCAAAAAAAGAAATTAGGCACACAGTAAGCATTCAATCAACGCACACAAGGAAGGCATGAGCTATTTCCCTGTGAAATATTTCCCTGTGAAACAGCACATACCGTGTTATGAGGAAGCCTTTCTCATTATAGGCAGAGTGGGAAACAAGGCACTGCAGACTTCACACTCGGGCCAACGCCTGCAGCCGGGTTCCTGCTCATCCCGTACTATTAATTCTGTAATCAATACACCCAAGGCAGGCGTATTGGCCTTCGACAATGCTCACCTGCCTCACCCGCCTCACCTGCCTCACGGAGACGAAGGTCATGCTTCCTGCCGCACAGACTGGCCACGACGCCCAGGAGGGAATGTGTGCACAGGCCAGCGCTGGCCGGGGGGCGCCCGCTGAACAGGCAGTGACTGACATTACTGAGGAGCACTGACCACCCTGCATTTTACTTAGAGGAAATACGGTTCCAGGGCTAGCCACCCACGTGGTGTCTCTGCGTGGCTCCTTCTGTGGCCCTCACACCAAGTCCGTGTGCTCACTACCCTCGGTGATTACAGCAGTGCACCACAGCGTGATCACAGGCTAAGAATAAGGCAACGGACACACAGATGTGTGGAATGGCCGTGCAGCACAGTTTAATAACAAAGGTGCTTTTGCTGTGAATATGCCTTTAGGGGGACAGAGAGCCCCGTGGTAGAGAAAGCCATCCTCCATAGATCTGGTGCCTCCACAAATTTTGAAAGAAAATGCCTGGAATGACGGAGATGTGCCCTCCTCACCTACCCACTCCTATCTCAAGTGACTTCTGTGTAGGTCGCATCATTTTAAAGCAAACGTCCCCATTTTATCACACAGTTGAGAATGTGGTGGTCCCATGGTGCTGTAGGGAAAGGCTCTTCTTGGAAAGTAGGAATTCAACACATTCGGAGGTGCTGGATTTGTAAGACAGCAGACGTGTCCCAGGAAATTAATGTCATGGCTTAGGGGGAGGCTTTTATGTTTTGGCCAAAGGAACAGAAACATCCGCAAGTGTGAAGTCACATCCTAATGCAGATCTCAAAGAATGAAAAATACTCTCCGTTTCACTGAAGACATAACCAGGTTCTAGACAGAATGGTTCTAGACACAACACTCAAAGTCAGACTTTCTGATGGGTCGGGGTAGGCACATGTGGCATTTTAGCAAAATAGAAGAGAATCAGTATGTTTGATGATACCAGCATGGGCTTGCCTGTTGGCCAACAAACGTCTTAGACTCATACGAGAAACCTGTTACTTGGAATCTAACACTCATCGACGAGATAAAACTTTCTACCGATTCGTACTACCAAGATGTGGAAAATGCTAACTGGTTGACATGCAACATTTAAAGGAGCAAAAATGAAAAGAGGCAGCTTGTCCTGACATATGGAAAAGGCCCAGTGCGTTCGATTTGTCTAGTATTTCTTATGAGAGGGAAAGTTCCGGTTTCGTGTCTTCCAGTAATTATCATAGGTACTGCTTTCTGTTAGTCTATGGAGTCACAGAGCTGCAGAGAAGACACATAGTGAGGACCCACCTCGTCTGAATTCTTCACGTTAAGATGATAGCCATGAAGCCTAGAGATTTAAGACATCTCTCAAATTCATAGACAGTAAACACAGAGCTAGAATCTAGAATAAGGGTCCAGTCCTCTTGTTTTTTAAGACAGTGCTCCAAGATTTAACAAAACAAAACAAAACAAAATTGTTCTTGTAATCACCACGGTACACAACCATCATCACATTCAATTTGCTGCTTAAAACAAATCAACCAAAAAAGAAACAAAGAACAAAGACGCTCTGTGGCAATGTTCCAATATTTCCAAAAGATCTAGCTGAAAAAGTTAAAAACTACCAATTCAGGGCACAAAAAGAAACGGAGGAAGATGGGGGGAAGGGAAGGAAAAGAAAACAAACACGTAAAAATCCTAAGCAACGTCCTGACTGGTGACATTTGGACAATTTTGTCCAACTTTGTCCATAAGGATTGAGCAATTTCAACACAAGAGATGATGTCACCAGAAGAGACGGGATGTGAGTGACGAGTTCAGGGCTCACTGGTTTTCCATTCCTTCGCTTCCCTTAGACATTACAGGACAGACCCAAGATGGCTCTGCTGTGCCAGAGAACATCAAGGAGAGCAGGCTCAGGACCACCGCCCATAGATGTGGAGGATATATTGGTTCAAGTAAGTCTTGCCAGCACCTCTGGGGAAAATGGCAGCTTCCTGCGGAATCAAGTAATTTGCTTCAGGAGGAGGAGAATGGACAGAAAGAACAGGCAATGTCTGCGTCCTCAGAGAGGCGGCGAGAGGAATAAAGGCCGTGAAAGGAAGCCAGGGATCTGTTGCAGCCCGGAGAGCCGGACCCCCGGGACATCCCGCAGCTGACGGCCCGAGCCGCCGGCCAGGGCTGTAGGTGGCCACGGTCTGCTCCGTCCCCAAGCCCAGCAGTCATCTAACTGCACTGCACACAATGCTGTGCTCACGTCTGACTGTGGGCTCGGCCACAGGTTCTTCTTACGTCTCACAGTGTTTTGTTACCTTTGTGTTTGAAAAATACAAAAACGTTTGCTGTTTTTAAAGGCATCAGGGTGGGAATTCATAGGAGAGGAGGCAGGCAGAGGACGATGGGGGCACAGCGTAAGCACACACATACCAACGCTCCAGTCCATTTCCTCCACGGCATCCCCATAAACTCCGTGCTTGCTTTTGCTGGCAAAGTCCTTGGACGCGAACAGGGCCGTGTGCACCTGAAGGTAGGACAGGGTGAGCAGGAACGGCTTGTCGGCATTCCTGCGGGAGGAGAAAGTTCGCGGCGATGTAATTATGTTTGCCACGTGCTCGGTAGGATCAAAGTACTACTCCATGATGCCATCTGAAAAGCCAGAAAGCTCCACAAAGGAACAAATGTTGTACATTTTTAAAAATATGTTTTAAAGTTTATTTTTGAGAGAGAGAGAGTGGGGAAGGGGCAGAGAGAGGGAGAGAGAATCCCACGCAGGCTCTGCACCACCAGCACAGACTCCAATGGAGGGCTCCACCCACGAACCGTGACATCATGACGTGAGCTGAAGCCAGACAGGTCAGTGACCGGGCCACCCAGGCACCCCCAGTATCGTACATTTTATTCAAAGAAACAGAAGTCTTCACAGCGTGCCTGTGAAGGGACTGATGGTTACCCTGTGCAGACCGGCTGACGGAGGCTCTGTTCCCTCAAGACAGTCCCTGAGGAAGCAGCTCTGGAACGAATGTCGTGGGGTCTGGCCTGCTTTGCTCCCGAATTGTACTCTTCCCTCTCGATATGGTGATTAATACCAATTCAAGGGCCTTCGAAAGCATATGCTTTTTGGAATATGTACACACACCCAAGTTACCGGCTATAAAGACTGTCTCTTGATTTGTCAAGTTCTTACAGAAACAGCTATCTACCTGTCTAATGCCAATTCAACTCTGGGTTCCGCCATATTGCTCACGTTCCACTGCAAAGGTAACTCTTCTTTAAAAAAATTTTAATGTTTATTTTATTTTTGAGAGAGAAAGAGAGAGGGGAGGGAGAGGGAAAGAGAGAGAAAAAGAGAGAGAGAATGAGTGGGGGAGGGGAAGAGAGAGAGGAGACAGAATCTAAAGCAGGCTCCAGGCTCTGTGCTGACAGGCTCAGAGCCTGATGTGGGGCTTGAACTCACGAACCATGAGATCATGGCCTGAGCTGAAGTCAGATGCTTAGCCAGCTGAAACACCCAGGCAAAAAAAAATGTCCTCTGTTGTAATCAATCAGTGAGAACACACATCTGCTTGAGAGTTGTAAGTCACTGTCAATGTGCGGCTCTTGTGACAGTTGCCATGGGCCTGGGTGTGCAAAGGCCTTGGGGGTCCCCGTGCGTCTGCTGAGAGGGCTCAAGAAGTCACACCACCTCCTCTTACATCTCACTGACCTCTGGGAAATGCCCTCAGTTGCTTCAGTTTGGTTTTATGTAATTGGCTCAAATTTCACCTTCATCCAGGAAAGCGTCAGAAATTCCCTTTCAGCTAAAAGGGAGAACTGAAGAAGTGCCCTTCTGAAGGCTGTTGGGACCAATTGAATGAATAATGGACCAGATGCACAGCCAAACGCAAACCCTACTAGAGTATCTGGAGCACAAACCAAGAATCCCCTATGTGTTTTCCTTCACCCACTACACCACGAACGGGGGCGTGCCACGGACATATACGTGCTGCAGGCACCAGCACGGTGGTTCGCAAGTAGTGTGGACTCAGTAAATCTGTGTTAGCCAATGAAAACCTGCATTAGCTCTCCCAGCTTCCTCGGGTCCAGCCAGGACTCCCAGAACTGCAGGGATCCGTCGGTGCAACATGGTTTGTGCAAAAGGTGCTCCAGAGTAGGTACTGTCATATATACCTATGTAATATATACACCTACATATGTAATAATACATCCGTATATACTTCCATTTAGATGTATGCCTATACATTTACACACATAGATACTATACACCTATACATATTATTAGTATTAGTATATGCATATATACCTACATATGTTATTAGTGTTAGTATGCACACATAGACTTATATATGTTATTAGTATAGGATATACACACATATACACCCATATATATTATTAGGAGGAATATATACATATATGTGTGCATACCTACTTATACATATATTAGTATAGGTATGTATATATCTGTACACATATCCACCTGTGCATATGTTATTAGTATAGGTATATATACATACACATACAAAAAATATATATACATTATTAGTATAGCTGTGGGTGTATTTATTTATTTATTTATTTATTTTAAATGTTTTTTATTTATTTCTAGGAGAGAGAGAGAGAGAGCGTGAGCAGGGGAGGGTCAGAGAGAGAGGGAGTCACAGACTGAAACAGGCTCCAGGCTCTGAGCTGGCAGTCAGCGCAGAGCCCGACGCGGGGCTCGAACCCACGAACTGCGAGATCATGACCTAAGCGAAAGTCGGACGCTTAACCGACTAAGCCACCCAGGTGCCCCGCTGTGGGTGTATTTATATACGTATATAAACATACACATATAAACACACACACACACATATATATATATATATTATTATATAGGGGTGTGTGTGTGTGTGTATGTACACATATACTCCTATACATATATTATTAGTATAGATAGTACATATATGTACTCAAATACACCTGTATATATATTATTAGTATAGGGGTATATATGCAATTACAAATGTATACATGTTATTAGTACAGGTGTGTATATATATATATATATACACATACACATATGTAATGTAAACACCTATGCATATATTATTAGTATAGACAGTATACATATACATACACACACACACACACACACACACATATATATACACGTCAGTACACCTATACATATATCAGCATAGATGCATGTATATATGTGTGTGTGTGTGTGTATAATACATCTACACATGTGTATAGACATCTATACACATATTATTAATATAAGTTTATACACACACATCTATACACCTACACATACATATACACACACATACACATATACACCTATATATATATTATTAGTATAGGTGTATATATACACACACACATGCAGAAACATATATATATATATTATCAGTACAGCTGTATTGTGTACATATATATACACTATACATATATTTTTAGTATAGGTGAATACATACACAAACTTATACATATACTATTGGTATAGATGTAGGTGTATATAAATATAGTCACACACATATACACCTATACATATATTATTGGTATAGGTGTACATGTATATGTATAAACCTATGTGTATGTATATATTATTAACAGTATAGCTGTCTGTATACATACACATATACAACTACAAATATATTATTAGTATAGTTGTATATATACATATATACACACACACACAAACCTATGTGTATATTAGTGTAGCTGTGTGTGTGTGTGTGTGTGTATATACATACACATGTATATGTATACACATACACCTGTACATATATTATTAACATAGGTAGTATATACGTACTCCTATATACCTTTAGATATATTAGTATATGTATATTAGTATACATACATCAGTATATTAGTATACATAGTGTACATGTATTAGTATAGGTGTATATACTATACACATCCACACAAACCTATGTATCTATTATTAGTATAGCTATGTGGATATATATATGTACACATACATACCTATACATATACTATTAGCATAGGGGGTATATATGCCAATATACACCTATGTGTATATTATTAGTATAGGTGTATGTATATACCCAAATACATATATTCTTAGTATAGATGTGTGTATACATATACACATTCACGTATATTGTTAGTGTAGATATATATACATATATACATACACACATATAAACTCATATGTTAGTATAGGCTGTGTATATGCATACACACATATGCACCTATGTATTAGTGTACATATAAATACATACATGTACAAATGCGCACCTATTGGTATAGGTATATACGTCATACTATATAAACTCTAAGTCAGAAATTCCTGATCATTTTGAAGGGAGCATCCCTTCTGTTTGTAATCTTTGCCAGTCAGCAAGAGCTCTCAAGAAATAACCTACTTAATGAAATCAAGGATGCCTTTACATGTTTATTTAGTATCTTAAGTACTCATGATAACCAAAAACATCTCAAATTTAGAACTGGGTATCAGAAAACTGATGAGTCTACCTCTGATAAAGAAAGGAACGCACACTCTGCCAAATGCACTTTTATTTCCTCATGTGCCTACAGCTTGGGTTCCTTTGGCCCAACCAGTGCCTCGTGGGTCACCGCTCAGACTTTCTCCTGTCATATTTGACTTTGAAGGTTGCTCCTTGCACTGATACTCTCGTCTTTTGAAACAGAAAATAAGCATAAAGCATCACATGCTAAGTGCTGGGTCCCTTCTATGCTCAAAAACCAGATCAAATTGAGCCAGTTATCATTGATCATTTATACGGCGCTTTACAGTTCCAGGGCTTGGTGTTGAATTCTGTCACTTTTCCTCTTTACGACAGTCTACATTCTTATTAATTCGTGTGAAGTCTTTCATGACTAAGCCAAACAGAAACAAAAACACCAGCCAGCAGATGAGCATAAAGGCTGTATGTGGTCTGTGCCACCTCCCCCAAAAGTGGAATTAGCGTGAGAGTCCAAACCCACAACATCTAGTCTCATGTAACTTCTCCCCATTACTTTCTCAGGAAGGAAAGAAGATGTGTTAATGTTCAGATGGACACACGGGCACCATCTCTGAGCTGATAACCTGCACGTGAGCACATCTGCCACGGCATCGCTCTGGCCACCTGTAAGGGCGGATGTCCTGTTAGACACTAAGCCATGACAGGTCATGGACCTCTGACGTACAGGGCAGCCGGTGAGGCCCCCATCCTAGCCCTGGGAGAAGTGCACTCAGGCTTGGACACACTGCACCTCCTTCTCAAGAAGCAGATGAGGACCCTAAAAACTGGCTCAGATTCCCCCCAACCAACATGGAATTACACTCTTTACACTTGTCCCTAAATAGACATGTGCATTGTGTTTGGGTACAATTTCACCTTCCTGTGCTCTCCTGCTATTATACTTGGGCTAAAAGTTAAGGAAAATAGATACAGACAACTTAAAATTCAACCTTCCAAGCGTGTGTATGGTCAGAGCTGGAGATATAAGATGTGACTAACAGCATTTGCCAAGAAAGAAGAGGTGTTGTGTGCCCAACACCTTCAGAAAAAAATATAAAAATACGAGGATGAAGAAGAGTGGACCAGCC